AGTAGACGCTCCTCTTGCTCCTTTGGCACATTGACAGTAAGATGGTCGAGAGCAAGAAGACATCGCGATGGTTCCCAGTTCATACAGTAGACCATGCTCGCTGAAAAACAAGCTGAGGTAGTGTTCGAAAAGGACAATAGCCCGCTGCCACGGATGCTGCACGTGATGTTGACGTCTTCTCCAGCAACCGAATTCGGATACGGCGCCGAGTTGATAGTACCTGGAACGACAAAAAAGAACGACTAACGAAGCGACTGTTGGGCAAAGGTAGTGGCAAGTACGGCGTAACTCAGTAGAAAGGCCGAAGCCTGACAAAAGCCAGGGCGAATGTGAAAGCAATCCTCGACAAGTAGACAGTGATGCAGGAATATCATGAGACAACATCGTGAGGGGGAACGGTGTGGCATGAAATATAATGCAAGGGTAGGATAGAGCAGGTATACACATAGTAGCAGACCACAGAATGAAGCGCTAGAAAATAGCTAATCAGGCATCAACGGAGAGAAACCCCCCCCATACCACAAGGTACCCGCTGAGGGATGTACGAGTACAGGTAGAGGTGGCCAAGGCTATACCGAACCGGTCACCCCCATGCCACGTTAAGGCGCCAAGACCTGTGGGGGCTGAAGCAGTCATATCTTGTGGGCGAACAGATTTACGGGCGAGCGAGAATATTTCCGTGATAATTGCACAACTTGCGTAAAAAAATGAATCTCTACTCTATGTCACTTGGCAGGTGACACAGACGTTGAGTTGAGATATAGGGAGATACCAACAAGCGAGTAATATTGATTCACTCATGTCAACTGGTTTCGTCTCCAGTGAAACCGTCGAAAGATTCATCTTGGACTCTAGCTCTGACTTACCGTCTCGCACTACTATCTGGGGCTTCCGTGACACAGGAGTTCACTGACCTCATTTAACTTGCGCGTTTTGTTTGGAGGAGATGCTTAAAATTAACTACGTCAAGAGTCGTTTAGCATTCAGGAAATCGGCCTGGACCTGGGTGACGGACCTCTCATGCAAGTTGAGACACAACTAACGTTCGAGATGGGCCTAGCTGATGACGAGGAGATGCCTATGTTGTTGTGGTTTAAGTACTACCTTGTGGGTCGATTCGGGAATATAGTGTTGGTGACAATATGGAAAGTGTGAGGATTTCTGTATCGGAGCTTCACCCTAGTGATGTGAAAAAGATATTTCACGAGTATTGCATATCACCGCGAATATCGCGTTTTTCACCGAGTTTTACGACGCCACTTCACGTAAAACGGGTAGTTGTGAAACTCCACTTCACTTTTACGCGAATTCGTATGTAAATGAGGAAACTCCTGAGCTCAGGTGAAGAAAGCGACCATCATCGAAAAATCTAAAAAAAATAATTCTGAAATTTTATTCTCAGGTCAACAACGTGTGAGGGAAAATATTCACATGATCAACTACATGTGTTGGTGACAATACGAAAATTCTACGGAAATTTGGGGAAATTTTTCTTCGTTTCTGTACACTTGTACCTAAATTCCTCTGATTAACCCTTGAGCTTAGCTGGGGGAAGCGAACCTATATTCCTACTCCAACACTGAATCTTAGTTAGTTCTTATTAAAATAGTTTACTTTGCAGTTATTTAGTTTTACGCACTCCGAAAGATGCGAATTGCGCTGGACGTAGCCTCGAAATCTATGGCAATTATCGACAATTACGGCTTGCCTATAAACCAATCGAGGCAATTATCCGATGCAATTCGACATTTGCACCGGAGTGAGAGTGAGAATAGGCAGTTGCCTTTCCGTTGTTGACCAACAATATGGCCCTACTGCAGGTCATGATGGAGGTTATTCAGGGTACTAAGGTGGCTAGGACGAAATTTAATCAGGAATTAGGAAATTTTTACGGTTTTTGTTGGAGGAGAATTCGTATTCTAAGAGAAGGTGTAAATATCACGTCTATTGGTATTACTTTTTGGGAAATTTTCCTATTATTTTTGTCCTTTTTTCCGTAGTGTTTTTCACTGTTTATGGTTTTATTTTACTCTTTAACTTCTATTTTATCAGTAATGTTGGAGTTTAACAACCCGTTTCACGTGAAGTGGCGTAAAACTCGATTGCTTTTGTGTGATTTCTACCCCATCTCTATCTAGATTAGTTGCTTGGGTATTCCTGATACGTATTTTGATCATTTTCTCAAATTTTTTCAACGATTTTATGAAAAATTCAACCATGTGAATGTATGCATTTAGCAACATTTTCGTATAAACATATAGCTGCATCGCTCCGCTAGGAATGTTCTCATAGTGATGAATAGCATCGAAACTTTGAATGGAACTTTACTAAGTTGGCAGGCGTTCCAAAGCTGATGCGCGCACGAGGCGGGATGCTGAGCAGATGCGGAGAGTTATGATTTGTTAATATACTCGTATTAAGGTAATCAGCAAATGGTAATAAAGAGTGTCTATGTATTTATGGACACTTGCGATGGCTGATTTTCCTTAATTCTTCACTCACGCTGGAGGATTGATGATTTTTTTGGTAATAAAAGGAAAAATTTCCAGAAAAAAACTGAAAATTTTCTTGTTGTGAGGAATTTTTTCTCACATGAAGTTGGTTTACTCTGAACGTCAGTTCGACTTTGAATTTGGGCGTATATATTTCTCTATCGAAATTTGACTTTTTCACTCGTGCTCGAATTTTATGCGTATATGTGAATGAACGTTGAATTGGATGTTGTAACTCAGTTTATTTTGGTAGTCGATCTTAATTTTGTGGCGCGCGAAATTTTCCGATGGTGGTCAGGTTCGATCGATCAAGATAAGACTAGAGCGTTTGCTAGTTTGGAATACTATCCTAACCTTATCACGGTGGTGTTGGGCAAGCTGGTTGAATTAAGACATTCTTCGTGTGCGGGTGTTTCTATTTATCAGTGGAATTGTTGTTGTTGTTGTTGTTGTTGTTGTTGTTGTTGTTGTTGTTGTTGTTGTTGTTGTTGTTGTTGATGTTGTTGTTGTTGTTGTTGTTGTTGTTGTTGTTGTTGTTGTTGTTGTTGATGTTGTTGTTGTTGTTGTTGTCGTTGTTGTTGTTGTTGTTGTTGTTGTTGTTGTTGTTGTTGTTGTTGTTGTTGATGTTGTTTGAAATGTGTTGTTGACTATGGCTATGATCAGTTGACTTGAACGTTCCGTTTGCCTATGCGCAGTAATCCAACATACTCGAACGGCGTCTCGAAGAGCGTTGCGGATCAGAAAATAGATTTTTCCCGAGGTTGCGAAGGACCTGAGAGGGGACCGGTGATCCAAGTTGATGAGTACCCGGCACCGTCGCTTTTCTCGGCTATATCGGGTATGGGTCTGGAGAAGAGTGCTGAGTAAGTGAGTGAGTTAGTGTGTTGGTTTGTCATTGAGGCGACTCTGGTTCGATTCCTTGTTGTTGCATTTTAGTCTATATTCATTATCTTCTCACACGGTTGACAGCAGCTTGTTCAGCGCAGCAGCAGCAGCAGATTCGGTTTCTAGTCGGCCCTCACCAGCAACAACACAACACCTCCTCATCCAGGATGCAATGGGACTCACAGTGGATATACTCGTCACATATGGCGTGTCTTCGGCGGGTAATAAACGGCTGTTTAGGAGCGGGTTAAAACAGTCGTCTAACGCGATTTTTCTCACTGTTGTTGTTAATCTGGCAGGTATCGACATCCTGAGGTCCCTTGGTTTGGTGACAGTTTCCGATCTAGCTACTTTAGACACTGATTCCTTGGCTCAACAAGGGTAGTCGCGCATGCATTTAGCGCTCGCCCGGTTGATCGATTATGATTAGGTTTAATAGAAAGGATGTGGATACTCTAACTCGACTAGCGGTTGAGGTTGGGCAAGAGAGTATTAATGAGAGATTTGAAGAAATTCAGGAGGAACTGAGGAAAGTTTATGATCTCGGAGGTTAGTACTTGTGGCGTACTAAATAGGAAATTCTGAGGGGAATTACGCCGATCACTAGTCATCAGTGATATGAAATATATGCAAATGTGCGATATTTTTTGAGATTAATGAGAATCGATGTAAAACTATATTACATATAAAATGTAAGAATGGGTATAAACATGTGTTGTGATGTTGAGTACCCGTTTGGGGACTGTGATGATAGCGACAACTTGTTCACTATAATATGTCCTATAACACATATCAAGTTGAAGCGTACTGCATTTAATAACAAATTTTGAGGGGAATTACACTTATTACCAGTGGGAAGTGGTTTGGGGGTATATGTAGTATGTATTATCATCATATCAAAATCTCGTATACATAGTAGTGTTATTATGATCTTGCTAGTCATGGGTATATCTTCGCCTCCCTGTGATAAGTGTATGTATTGGATGCTGGGCGAGCAGAAGCTGTATATGGCGTTTTGCGTGGAACTGGGGAAAATCGTCACGAAATCGGAATTTTTCGCGCCTAGATATACTATGATGTCCCTTTTTTTCAGAAGATCATCTCCTACCGATTAAAAATACCTTTATCAATTTCCCACCGTCACAACTGCCCTCGTCTAAGAAAACTCCCCAGAGTTGCCCAGTTGACATGTCCATGACTCTTCCGAATGTAGTATTACGTGAAGTGGCGTAACACTCGGCGAAAAACGCGGTGATATGCAGTAGTCGTGAAATATGTTTTTCACTAGGGTTTTTCGTATCACTAGGGTGAAGAAACTCCACTGTTTATGGGAGTTCACCATCAAATTGAATTCACCATTAATTTTAACTGACATGGTTTTGACAGTTTGACGTTATAAACGCACCAGTGAAGAGTTTTAGAATATGAAGTAAAAATAGCTTATTAGGAAATGGGCTAAAGAGGAAAATCTTGTGTGGGAAAATATGCACATGATCAACCACATATGTTGGTGACAGTATGAAAATTCTGAGGAAATTTCGCGAGATTGTTGTTGATTCTTTTACCTTGCTATATAAATTTATATTATCAGTAGGGAAATTCCTAAGCTCGGCTGAGGAAAGCGAGCATATATTTCTCCAACACTGAAAAAGTCTACTGTATTTCAAGTCATTAATTTTTCTAATTATTATTTATTTTCATTCAAATTTTTTTAGAAATGAAGCAGATCAAACGATATTGTATAGGTGGAGGAATACGGAATAATGTGGGAAAATATGCGCATTATCAACTACATGTGTTGATGATGACAATATGAGAATTCTTAGAGGAAATTTTAAAGAAGTACTTTTGGTTTTTGTATACTCGTATGATGAGTCATGTGTAGATCTCTGTATAGGAAACTCGCGGGCTCATCTGAGGAAACTAACACTGGACCGAATCGAATTAAGCGTTTAGAGCCGTTGGTTTACCGTACCGTAGGATGTTTATATATGAGCAAAAATCAAGAAATCGAAATGTGAGGGAAAATGAGTTTTTTCGTTTGGTGTTGAGTGGGCTTGACCGTGGCTCTCGAGGAGAATTGATATCAAATTTTGTCATAAGTATTTCGAGTGATATTGTAGCGATCGCTCAGCTGAGTCATCTTCTTTTTTTCAGTCGCTTCATACTACTGTTGGTAAGGAGAGTAATTTGAGCCCAGTGGCATCGTCTCACAGTCAAGAGAGGTCGGGGCTTTTAAATTTGGATTTACCTTTGTATCCTAGCATAGGGTAAGTTTGGGTATTATATTGTCGCAAGGCGATTGAGTTTTTCAGGTCGAGGTTGCATGCTTCGGGAATGTGCAAACCTTGTGCATGGTATTATCATGCTTGTGGGTGTCGCCACGGTGCACAATGCGAGTTCTGTCATTTGTAATAACGAACGATTATGGGAGATCAATCCTGGGAGTTCACTCCTTTATCATGATAGCATGTCGGAAGTGTATATTTTAGTGCGTGAAGAATTCCCGTTTTGGAATTATTCACTTGGTTGATAGGTGTCCTCCTGGTGAACTAAAGCGTCGTAAGAAGGAGAAGTTACAGATTATAAGATTGCTGAAGCAAACTGAATTGCATCAAGACGGAGCACAAGAGGATCTGCACACTGGGGATCAATATGGAGCGATGGGTATGTACAACACAAACGCATCGACGAGCGAGGAAAGTCATCATATGAAGTCTAACGACTCAGCATCTCGTCGTCATCATAATCATAATCACAATCGATATACTCCCACTGATGGAAGTATTGAGGAATTTTCTCAAAATCTGGTGAGCACGGCATTCTATGGTAGAGGGTGATAAATGGAGGCGATTGTGATTGTCGTCTTTGTTGTTGTTGTTGTTTAAATTTCTGGTGGTTCATTGCTGGCCTTAATTGTTGTTGGATAACGAGAGAAGTCTCTGCCTTTGAATGGCCGTATGTTGTTTGTTCGGCGGCACTTTTTCATCATCATTACCTCAGCTAAGACCGACTATTATTCATGTTTGGTGAGGAGTAGATAGTTTAAAGACGTTCTCAAGACCTTGGTCATTATCTTGTATGGTATTAGCATCATCATTCATCTTTCAATCTCGCCTATTACGACGAAGATCTCATTGTGTTGTGTCGAGTTTGAAGTCGGTAGCTACTGAGGTGCTCAGGAATCACAAGTGAGATGACACAGATGTATTCACACTCATTACAGTGGTTAATGTACTGGGTGGTTGATGATGCGTCTAGGGACAGTTTACAGAGTGGTGTATGGATGGTAGGGTGTTCAGTAGGACCATCTGTAGATGTTGTAGTTGTCGATGTAATAGTTGAAGGCGGAGGCTAGGGGGGACGATGGAAGGTACTATGGGAGGACAAGCCTGTAGTAGGGCATATCTTGGGGTGGTATGATGCCTCTGGCATAGCTGCCCCACGTGGCAAAGTTAGTCTTAATAAGACGCATCTTGGTGTGGCATAGCTGCCCCACTGTTCTCCTAAATTGATATTAACAGACGCATCTTGGTGTGGCATAGCTGCCCCACTGTTCTCCTAAATTGATATTAACAAGACGCATCTTGGTGTGGCATAGCTGCCCCACTGTTCTCCTAAATTGATATTAACAAGACGCATCTTGGTGTGGCATAGCTGCCCCACTGTTCTCGTAAAGTGATATTAACAAGACGCATCTCGGTGTGGCATAGCTGCCCCATTGTCCTCCTAAATTGATATCAACAAGATGCATCTCGGTGTGGCATAGCTGCCCCATTGTTCTCCTAAATTGATATTAACAAGACGCATCTTGGTGTGGCATAGCTGCCCCACTGTTCTCGTAAAGTGATATTAACAAGACGCATCTCGGTGTGGCATAGCTGCCCCATTGTCCTCCTAAATTGATATCAACAAGATGCATCTCGGTGTGGCATAGCTGCCCCATTGTTCTCCTGAATTGATATTAACAAGACGCATCTTGGTGTGGCATAGCTGCCCCATTGTGGTCCTAAATTGATATTAACAAGACGCATCTTGGTGTGGCATAGCTGCCCCATTGTCCTCCTCAATTGATACTAATAAGACGCATCTTGGTGTGGCATAGCTGCCCCATTGTCGTCCTAAATTGATATTGACAAGACGCATCTTGGTGTGGCATAGCTGCCCCATTGTCGTCCTAAATTGATATTAACAAGACGCATCTGGGTGTGGCATAGCTGCCCCATTGTCGTCCTAAATTGATATTAATAAGACGCATCTGGGTGTGGCATAGCTGCCCCATTGTCGTCCTATATTGATATTAATAAGACGCATCTTGGTGTGGCATAGCTGCCCCATTGTCGTCCTATATTGATATTAACAAGACGCATCTTGGTGTGGCATAGCTGCCCCATTGTTCTCCTGAATTGATATTAACAAGACGCATCTTGGTGTGGCATAGCTGCCCCATTGTCGTCCTAAATCGATATTAACAAGACGCATCTCGGTGTGGCATAGCTGCCCCACCATTGTCCTCCTAAATTGTCCCATTCTATCATATCTTTGGTGACACGTACCGTAAAGAGCCACTGATACTTCCAAAGATATTTTTATTACTCCTCGGCTGAAGTGTGGGATCAACATCACGACTCTCGAAGGGAAATCGAGGAGGAGGCGATGTCCCTACTGATAAACACACTCTACCTGACAAACGCATATTCAAGCAGGGACAGGGTCACGCCTAGATGTCCTTGCACGCACGATTCGCAGGAAGATGATAGTGCGTGAAAAAATGCTGCTGCACGATGGTGATTGATGAATGCTCCGCTTGAGGCAAGTATAACCTCTCATACGGACAAGTGTAAAATATAAAGTATGATTCGACTTATTCACTTTCATGGTTTCATGAGTGGAATCTTCACATATAATTTCATCGCTGTGGTGGTGGTGATGACCTTGAGTTTTGTCCCGCCATTCTGTAGTTGTTGTTCCCTTACTGGTGTCGACATGTTATCTACTCACGTCATACGCCGACATATATCTTTCTGGAGAAGTGGGATGTTATTAGGAGCTCTCAGGCCCTTTAGACTTGCTGATATCGGAGAAGGTAGTAGTAGTAGTAGTAGTAGTAGTAGTAGTAGTAGTAGTAGTAGTAGTAGTAGTAGTAGTAGCAGTAGTAGTAGTAGTAGTAGTAGTAGTAGTAGTAGTAGTAGTAGTAGTAGTAGTAGTAGTAGTAGTAGTAGTAGTAGAGGAGCTTCATACGATGGATATTGGCTTCGTGTTTGAAATATATCAACTCTAAAGTGAGTGGGGCGATGTTGTCACCGAAAACTGGCCGTCATAAATCGTCTATATAGTATTTTGCGAGGATGCCTATAGTACTTTATGGTTGAGAAATGGAGGCTGAAGTGGCCATATTGCATTCCTCTAGTGACGGTGTATGAATTCGAAGTTGTTTTTAGGTATAAGTCAAGTTGAAGTTAAAGAGTGGTATGTTAAACCGGGTAGTAAAAGGGTCCGTCTTTGGAGAATTCATAAGAAATCGAAACCGTATATGTGGCCACGTGTCACTACTCGTAGAATATATGTGTTTCGCTTCGCTCTTGCGAATGACATTATTGTGAGCTCAACGATGATTAAAACATGTTTTATTTCTCGAATGTCAATTATCATCGTAATAGAGGATTCCATTTTCGGATGATTTTATGTGCATGCGTGCTGATGTGGTGATGATGATGATGAATTGGCTATCAGTCAGGTGATAAGGTAGAGGAGATGGATCGTCTATGCACAGTGGAAAGTGACAAGGCGGCGGTGGACATCACCAGCAGGTTGGGAAAATTTCGCGCGCCACGAAATTATTACGAAAAATGGGCATTTTAGTTACGGTGGAGTTGTAAAGCGATTGTTGTTTGATGTTAATACTACGGCTAAGGTTGGTGACGTTTTGTTGGAAATTGAGGAGGAGGAGGAGGAGACGACGAAAGAGGAAGTGGCGCCTAGTGATGATGATGGAGGTGAGTATGTGCATGGTCAACTTCATGTGTCGGTGAAAATAGGAAAATTATGAGGAAATTTACGGGGAGTTTTTTCATTGGTTGATGTACATATGGGATGAAATTTTAGTGGGGGAACTCTTGAGCTCAACTGAGGTAAGTGAATATATATTCCTCCAACACTGTATAGATGGTGTAGTGGTCATGATATTGGTTTAACTCTCGCGAGGTATCGAGATCTATTCCTGTTGATGTTATCCCATATATATTCTCTTCATTTTATACCAATTTATGAGCAGGAGGGGCTATTTTATGATTCTTATTATGATTTCTCATTTTCTTTACCGATAAATTGAGATATACGAATTCATAATAATAAAGCTTCATGACCCGTTTTACGTGAACTCGGTGAAAAACGCGAAACTCGCGGTGATATGCAGTAGTCGTGAAATGTGTTTTTCATATCACTAGGGTGCAGAAGCTCCAATACTACTAGAACTAATACATTCAGCGAGCATTATATATAAATTTATATGCCATATAGCGTTATTATATTCAATTAGACTTTTTTCCCGAGATCGAATCGTATATGTTTGATTTTTCTCTTAGTTGGCGCCGCAGTTCTGAACGACACCACTAGGACGGCATCTTCCGGCGCCTCCACATCTTCCCAGAACACAAGAATTGTCCCTTTCCATTTGGCTGACATTGGGGAGGGGATAAGCGAGGTGTCGGTGATGGAGTGGTATGTTAAAGAAGGTAAATTAATAGAATTTTTACATTTTTTCTGGGAAAATTTGGGGAAATTTTTTATAACATATATTGACTTTATGATTAGAGAAATGCGGAGCGATGAAAGTAGAAAAAGTGAAAATTTACTTTCCGTTTTACGCGAAGTGAAATGTGTTTTTCATATCACTAGGGTGTAATACCACGCGACTGGTCACACTTACCATAATTCCCCCAACATTTCTCTCAGGGGACCATGTTGAAGAGATGGATAGATTGTGTACTGTTGAAAGCGACAAGGCGGTAGTTGATATTACAAGTCGTCATAGAGGGACGATAAGGCGTCTAGGGTAAGTTCATTGTGAAGCTTTGTTCGAGCATTTTGTATGTTCTGTGATAATAGTTTATATCTGGAAATTTATTGTGTCACCGCGCCACGAAATTACCAGTGGACAGGTGTAACGCTGGTGACACGGCGAAAGTGGGTTCGGTGTTGGCCGAAATTGAAGTTGAAAAATCTGAGGAGGATGAGGAGGAAGAAGGACTCGGGAGTGTTGAAACGGAGGAACGTGTGGAAAAGGATGATAGTAGTAGTAGTAGTAGTAGTGGTTGTAGTAGTGGGAAATGTTTCAAATTTGAGGGAAATATATTTATCGCAAATTACACGAAAAAAATATTATTATCAAAAATATATTGTTAAAAAATTATTATTTATATTCGCGGGAAAATTTCGCGAAAATTTTCGTTGGTTTTTTCTTGTACAGTTTCACCATAAATTGCGTTTAAATGTGTCATCATAGTGAGGAAACGGGAAAAAATCGGACACTTGATAATGTGCTGGTTGCATAAAAATTTCGGTCTTCTGTCCTTTTTACTGTAGTCATTGTCGCATATGTTTTCTGTGGTGAAATTGAGGGGGGAGTAAGCACATGGTCAACTACATGTGTTGGTGATGACAATATGAAATTACTATTGGTTTCTGTATTACATTTTCACCGACCAGACTCTCGAACTCAGCGAACATATTTCCAACAGTGAATTTGAGTATAAAAAATCTAATATCATCGTTTACTATTTACCCGGGAGGATCAATTTGCTTATAAATTATGTTGTATTTCTTCAGCATACCAAAAATCGTTGAAAAATTCCGAGACGAGAGTTTCGGCCATCCCTATGGTCAGACAAGCAGCTAAGGAGAATGGAATTGATATTAACACGTTAGTGGGCTCAGGTGAGGAAGGAGTTTTTGAATCTGTGATTAATTATTTTATGGTATGTGTATAGGACTTATATAGTAATGAAAAATATCATTTACGTGAAGTGGTGAAAAACGCGATATTCAACGCGGTGATATGCAGTAGTCGTAAAATATATTTTTCACTAGTGTTTTTCATATCACTAGGGTGAAGAAACTCGATTATTCTACTTATATAATATAAATTTCGAAGCGAGTAGAAAATATGCCCCCCGGGGATGGAACCGAGGACCTATACCAAAATAGAGAATTATGGTTCCCAAACGACAACGCAATCATTATTTGTCTACTTCCAAATCGAAAAATGCGGACTAGTCGAGCTCCGACAAGTGCGAATGTCATTTTTATATAGTTAAAACTGTTTTACAATTTTCGGTGTCCTCCGTTTGGTGAATGATGAATCATGTAAATTTCTTCATCACTTGTTTACTGGAGTTTCACCCGTGATGTGAAAAACACATTTCACATTTTACTTCGCGAAAAACGCATGTGAGCAGTGAATTTTGCGTAAAACATGTGAGGTGTTTTTCATGTGATATGCAAAACGCGAAATTATTTCGCGTTTTACGCGTTTTGCGCGAAATACGCATATTTGGAATCATTATGCATGGCTCAAACCTTGCACTGGCTATAAATCAACACTTGAAATATCCTAGGGAAACCTGTCTCTGATTTGCCACCCCTATCCCAGTTAGTTGATGGTACAGAAAATCAAAATTTATCAAAATACAACAGGCGCATACCACCCTGGAAGACAACCCGTTTTGCCTCCTCATATGTGAGCGACAGCGAGTGAAACTCCACTGTAGTAAAATTTTGACAAATTTCACCAGTTTTTCGCGAAGTGTAATGTGAAATGGGTTTTTCGCTAATGGGTGAAACTCCATTTTGTTTTTTTTCTATTATAGTTATGTGAAAATTTTCATTATGTGGTGGAAAAATTCTTCCGGAAAGAAATTTTCCGCATATTTTTGGAAATTTTCGTTTTTATGTTCAGGACCAGATGGGAGGGTGACTATGGAAGATGTTCTAAAGTCGACCGAAAAAGAAAAAAAAGTTGAGGAAAAATTTTCCGAAAAAAATTCGGAAAATTCTACTTATCGAGTTTCCCTCTTGAGGGGTGTGGCCGCAGCTATGGTACGATCGATGACCGCAGCATTAGCGGCGCCGCATATGAATTTGGGAGAGGAAATAAGAGTAGATGAACTAGTGAGAGTTCAGGTGAGTTTACTCGGGAGGGCGATACTGGAGTTTCGCTCGTTTCACGTGAAGTGGCGTCGTAATACTCCGTAAAAAACGCGATATTCGCGGTGATATGCAGTAGTCGTGAAATATATATTTTTTTCACGACTGTTTTTCATATCACAGGTGAAACTCCAAAAAATTGTCAAAATTTTTCGATTTTTCCCCGATAATATTCAGAAAAATAATGGAGTTTCACTAGTGTTTTTCATATCACTAGGGTGAAGAAACTCCACTGAATGTATATTTTTCCTCTCAAGTTGGTATTTATTTTTTTTCAGGCGAATCTGAAAAAACTGGTTCAAGGGCCGCCCTACAATTTACCTTCAATGACACTAACTGCGATGATGATGAAAGCATTGTCGTTGAGTTTGCTGAAACATGAAATACTAAACTCTAAAATTGAGCCGTAGGTTTCGGAATAATTTTGTGGCGCGCGGTCATAATTTTTTTCTCAGATCAGGAGAGTATTACACTGTTTATGGTTATCATAATATTTCTATGGCAATAGACAGTCCGCAAGGATTAGTCGTACCAAATGTGAAAAATGTGGAAAAGAAAAATTTGGTTGAAATTCAAAAAGATATTTTGGAACTACAGGTGAGAGAGAGAGGCGAATTGAAAGTATTTTTTTCTCCGCAAAAAAAAAGAAAATTTTTGCGGATTTTACGAAGTTTCATTGCAAGAATTCGCACTAGGCTTGGGAAAAAGTGTAGGAAAAAATTCTGTGTAGTTGAGGGGAAAAATATGCATATAGTTGGTAATAATATGAAAATTCTGGTGAAATTTTGGAAAATTTATATTAGTTTATGTATTTCACTTCTACCCGAATTCATATAAATAGCTTTGGAAACTCCTGAGCTGAGCAGCTGAGGAAAGCGATTACATATATTCCTACTCCAACACTGTATAGGAAACTCCTGAGCTCAGCAGCTGAGGAAAGCGATTACATATATTCCTACTCCAACACTGTATAGGCAACTCCTGAGCTCAGCAGCTGAGGAAAGCGATTACATATATTCCTACTACAACACTGTATAGGAAACTCCTGAGCTCAGCAGCTGAGGAAAGCGATTACATATATTCCTACTACAACACTGTATAGGAAACTCCTGGGCTCAGCAGCTGAGGAAAGCGATTACACCGATTAAAAATGAGGGAAATTCTCTCATTGTTTTCCATAGGCGCGCGCTTCGAGCGGTCGGCTAACACTTGAGGACATTCGAGGAGGTACGGTATCGTTTTCCAACGTCGGTGTGATTGGTGGAACTTATTCGAAAGCTGTTCTATTCGATGGTCAAGCCCTTATTGGTGGTGCTGGAAGAATAAGGACGCTGCCGAGGTGAGTGAAAGTAGCGCGCGCCCTGGTGATCGATTATGTATATGTCGTAGGTTTACTGATGATGGTTCGGAGGTGTATGCAGCGAAAGTGGTGAATGTGTCTTGGTCGGCTGATCATAGGCATATTGATGGTGAGGTTGGAAGAAAAAATTTACGAAAAATTTTGCTTTTTTTTCGGTAAATTTTGGTGTTTTTGAAGAAATTTCGGGAAATTTGAAAGTTTGGTAAATTTTTTCAGGTGCGACTGTTGCGCGTTTCTCCAACACTTTCAAAGGCTACCTCGAAAATCCGGCGAGTATGATTCTCGATGCGGCATAAAATAATTTTGTGGCGCGCGGTCACGGAATTTTTCATTTCATGTTAGTTTCGTTTCTACGATGCTGATGATGTTCTTGTGTTAACTGATAGTTGGTTTACTTTGGGGAAAAATATGCACAAAAAAATTTTAAAAATTTTCCTCATTGGTTTGTGTACACTTCTAGTGAGGAAAGCGAACATATATTCCTCCAACACTGCTGTTTGGGACGCGAAAGCGATTCGATTTTAAGAAGTGAAGATTTGACTGGTCGAAAAAGTCCTTATTAATAAGGAGGAAATTGAGAGTAATTTTAACTAGGGTAATCGCAATGAATTTGCAGTGCGAAGTTTAATTTTGTTACCAAAAATCGAAGAAATAGTGTCTACTTCTGGTTATGAAATATGTGTTTGCTTCCCTCGCCACTTCTCTGGTAATTTTTTTCGATGAATTTCACTTTTTTAATGCATTTTAGTTTGTATATTGGAGTTTAGTGATATGAAAAATATATTTCACAATTCACTTTGCGGAAAACAACTGTGTTATCGGCGGTCGCGGAAAAACATATTTACGCCACTTCACGTTAAACGGGTCATCGCGAAACTCCATTATTATTGCTGAATTTTTTGTAAATTTTACGGTTTCTGGTGAAACTAGGTCTTCGGTGCGAAGGGGCGGAGCTCGCTGAGCTTCCTGCCAAGAATTCAGCGGGCTCTTATTGAAATTATTTCGGAAATTGGGTGACTAAAAAACCAAAGGTTGTCGGGGGTTGGCTGGCGTCGTCGACGTGGCCGACCACTGTCTCCTTATGGAGACATGTGAGAAAAATGACCATCGTGGGATTTGACCCGAGGTCATTCGGCTGGGAGTCGTGAATACTAACGTGCTGAGCTAACAGTTCATCACTTGTGCGCAGAACCGTTTCGTCGAAAATAAGCGGGCAAAGCAACAGCCACACTTTCGCTATATTTTTACGCTGATGAGCAGTCAACGGGGGACAGAATGATACCCTATTTGTTTTCTGAATCGCCCTGGTCGGGTCAGAATTTTCGCTCACGCACGGTCGGACGGACGGACGCACGCACACGAGTGTTCGTGCGCAGTAACATAAGCTCCGCTCGCTCCGCAATTTTAGGGGTAAAAATCCATCGGAGTTTTCTTATTGTCAACAACAACAAACTTAAGTGAATATCTTCACTCTCATTGAGAGCAGCGTATAGCAAACGATTTTAGTGGTGTAAAAATATCCGAATTTGTGATAAATTCACACACCGAGGATTGTATTGTGTAATAATACTTTTCTTGCTGTATCTTTTGTAGAGGAGTTCGTTTTCATTATGATTAGCGATTGGCACATATACGATTTGGCGAATTACGATATGCAACGAACGAGTGGTGACACTGAAGGCGCTCGGGTGAGGAGTACCCAGTGTAGGGGGAAAATATGCACATATATGTTGATGATGACGGTATGAAAATTATGAGGAAATTATTGTTGTTTTTTATATAAACTCCTGAGGAAAGCGAACGAACGTATATTCGTCCAATGCTGAGAGTATGCAATTTTCGAGGAGTATCCAAGGTTGAAATTAGGAAGATACGAAATAGGTCCAGAATGGGAACATCAGTGATGGAATTGAAATTAATTTTTTTCAGTCGCTCGGTGTACCGACGAAGAATTGGTTGGCAGCCTGGCAAAGCGAAGGAATGAGAAGTAAATGAAATCATGGAAATTTTTTACTTTTTCCAATTTTTTTCTGAAATTTGAGGGGAAAAATCTGTATAAAATTGTTTTATTTGCCGAATTTTACGAGCTTTAAAAGATCCCAATTGTTAATTTGTTTGCATTTTTTGCAGTGGAGTTTCACTCTAGTGATGTGAAAAACATATTTCACATTGCACTTCTCGAAAAACGGGTGGAACTCCAGTGTTGGAATATATATGTGATTAAGTTTATCGGTTGAGAATTTGCAGTCTCAAAATTTACACAAGATTTGTGGTAGGAGTGTACAAAAACTAATAAGAATTTGCGTAAAATTTAGTTTTTTTTCTCAAAATTTTCGTATGTATTTTACCATTTTTTCAGGAACTATCTACTGTGTTGTTCTCTGTCATTATGAGGAGCAAGCGTGTTTGTTATTATCAGATTCAGCTGAAGCTCCCAAAAT